AGTGTAGAAGTTTGCGGTAAACTCGAGAATAGAGTAGAACAACAAAGCCAAAACACAAAACGTTTTCTGATTATATTGTAATCATTTAAATTACGTATAAAGTCACTGTCTTTTAGCTATCAAAACTTGTCAGTATGATAAAGATCACCGAAAAATTGTCAGATGTCCGGATTTGGCATTAATCGATGTAGTTTACACGGGTCAAGTTCGATCAGATGGAGGAGCGATAAAGTACACGTCCGACTACGACGACGATTGACATTCCTGACATATGATATTAATCAAATAAAAACACCTCTTAACGAGGTAAAAAACTAGTGACGATCGCACCTTCAACGTACAAAAGTTCTGATATCAAATTTTGTGACGAAAAATGATTTTAGATGCGACTAAATAAGTACGCTACCTAAAATTTACTCGTTCGGCCCGCTTTAGCAAATATTTAATATCTACACGAAAGTTTTCTGTTTGTAGCGTGCCGAATGAATAAATTTTAGGTAGCGTACTTATTTAGTCGCATTTAAAATCATTTTTCGTCACAAAATTTGATATCAGAACTTTTGTACGTTGAAGGTGCGATCGTCACTAGTTTTTTACCTCGTTAAGAGGTGTTTTTATTTGATATCAGAAGTTTTTGTTTGTTTACTTTTGCTCTCATAGATGCTAATATAAACATTTAAATTTAAATTGGTCAATCATAATTTTTAAACTATTGTATTTTAACGAATTAAGATAAAAAGGCGTTAAAGTATTTTAAAATACCTTTTAAACGAGGTACATGGGTGTACCTTTAGTAGTGTAAAACTTACAAACTAACGAAATGTAGCTATTTTTAGCTTTTTCCCGCTAAAGTAGCGGCTTTTTTCAAAAGTCGTAGAACAAAAGATTCCTATATGGAACTCTTAAGTGCAAATTTACTGATTCCATGACCCTAAAATACAGTTCGGATACCCTCCCACAAAATTCAATACTCAGGGAGCGTTAGTTGTTCTGAGCTGGCAAAAGTGGCTATTTTCGTTTCTGAATAACTTTTAAACGCGATTTTTTACATAAACATGATATATACCAAAATTTAAGGAATCTCAAGGGCTATACAGTTTAAAGTTGTAAGGAAAATCGTTAGAGCCGTTTTTGAGAAAATTAAAAAAAAGCTAACAAAAAAGTTTAAACAAATTTTCTTTTGTTCAAATCTTTTTAACTATTACATTTACACAAATTGCATATAGAAGGCGTTTATAGCATTTAAAAATACCTTTCAAACGAGATGCAGCACAAGTCTGTAGCTTTAGTAGTATAGAAGTTACGGCTTTCCGAATTTTAGCTATTTATAGCTGTTTTCCCGCTAAACTAGCGGGTTTTTTCAAAAGTGGTAGAACAAAAGTTTTTTATATCGATGTGACGAACGTCATATCAAATTTTCAGAACTTAAAAAACATATTTTGGACAAACTGACAAACTGACAAACTGACAAACTGACAAACAGAATTAAATTTTCATTTTGGGAAGAAGAAGAAAATCTTATTTTGGCTATAACTTTTGAACGGAGAGTCGGATTTTGACAAATGACCCCTCATTCGACGGGTATTTTCAAAAGGAATATAACTAAAACATTGCGAGGGGGCATTTACCCCCACCGGCCCCAACAGCTCCAAATTTCGAAATTTTCACTTTTCCACTTTCACCGCTCTCTCTCCCAAGCCAATTGATTTTCTTAAAGTCTTGGTATGCAATCCTTTAAGTTTTTGCAATACCTTTCGATTGGTGTATTACTCATTACGATCGGACTATCACAGCAGATTTTCAATTTTGCGGCTATATAATAGTAGTCGCCTTCGCACACTCTCCTGGTGCGCTTCGTCACTACATGGACTGCCGTCCATAGTGATATATGTGCATAATATCAGTGAGTAATTGAGTTGTGCAAACTTTCAGCTTAAACATGTAAGAATTGTACTCATTGGAAATATAAATAGGGTTTTTCTAAATTCGCATATAAATTTATATGTCTTGGAAATGATGAAAACGAACAAAAATGTTTCTTCGGGTAAATTAAGTTGGTTATGAGATGGACAATCATGGATAACTAAGTTTCTTTTATACGATGAAAAAGACAGTCAAAAAAAAAATTTCAACTAATTAAAATTCATACTTATTGGACAACAAAAAATGTAAGAAAGTTATTTTCTAACTCCCTCAGTACACATTTAAAAACGTGTAAAGTTGCACGTTGTTCTTCTAAGCCGTTCTCGAGATATACTAATTTGAAGTTTGAGAACATTTTTTAAGTTCTTAACTTCAAAAATTCATAGCGCCCACAAATAGACACCGAAAAATTTCAAAAAAATCACAGATGATAACCAAGGCAAACTCTTCAAAGTACCCGAGTTTGAAGAAAATCTAAAATTTCATATGCGCAGTTGAGAAATTCTTACCCAGCAGCAAAAGCAATAGAAACTTCCAGCAAGTTTTACTAGCTGCTGCTTCGACTGTTGCTACCGACTGAAAGCAGCAGCACAGCAGCAGTCGAAAATCAGAAAGCAACGACTTGCTGTTGCTTCGACAGTGGGCAGTTCTCGGATTTTGCTTATGCTTCGACTACGACTGCCGACTTTTTCAGAAGCAGCAGCAAAAGCAAAAGCAGGCTTAATGAAAATTCAGACAGTTTTTTAAGCACTGGCTACAATATACATTTGTCCCATCCGACCGACTTATACATATACTAGCTGCCATAGTAAGAAGACTTTTGGGAAATTTTCACCGATAGCTCAAACACTGAGAGACTAGTTTGCTCAGAAATGGACAGTAGGACGGACAGACGGACATGGCTATATCGATGCTGCTATATCGTCTAGTGATGCTGATCAAGAATGCATAAGATTTAACATTTATCTATTTCACAGCTGGGCGATTTTAAAACCAGAAAGGAAGTTAACTTCGGCCAGTCGAAATTTATATACCCTTGCAGGTATGCCTACTTAAAATGTTGTTTATAAAATGTCAAAATTCAAAACGCCTACTTTCTAACGGGTGTTTTTTAGAGGCATAGAACTTTAAGTTGCAATAAAACAACGATGGATTATTCGATTGACATGCATTTTTTTTTATTCGTAAGATAATCTTGTGTCGTTACATTTTATATTTGATTTCTGGCATATGACCGCCACGGCTGGCTCGGATGTAGTCCAATCTGGACGTCCAATTTTAATGACTTTTCCCAACATTTGCGGCCGTATATCGGCAATAACACGGCGAATGTTGTCTTCCAAATGGTCAAGCGTTTGTGGGTTATCCGCATAGACCAATGACTTTACATAGCCCCACAAAAAGTAGTCTAGTGGTGTTAAATCACAAGATCTTGGAGGCCAATTTACAGGTCCAAAACATGAAATTAGGCGGTCACCAAACGTGCCTTTTAATAAATCGAAAAAAAATTGCACTATTTGCAAGCGTTGTTCAGGCGTGAGTCTATTCATGATGAATTGCCAAACCAAACTGAATATAAATCACTTGACAGCTGTTAAATCGGTCGCCATCTTGAACAGTGATGCCAACTTAAAGTACTATACCTCTAAAAATAAACACCCTTTTTAATAAAAATAAGAGTCGCTGTGCAAAAAAATTTTCATTGGCCTCGAATCTTCCATCGAAATGCGAACATTCCACGCTTCCAAGCAGCAATCGGCTTGTTAACCTCAAAATGGTGTTAAGATCTCCTGATGGCATTAACGATGCTTTCAGATGTTTTCCCGGAACATCAATATCGCTGCCGAGTTCTTAACCTATAGTCAAATCTAAAACCCCTCCAACCGACTTGAGACTCTAAAACCTGAGGTTATGGGCCTGGTAAAGCTGAAAAATCCCTACTTCGCAGGTATATGAGATCCCAAGATCATGAGATTAAAAAGCTTACACTAAGCTCGAATATTTTGTTGAGATGCTCCACAACGCGGACACCACCAAATCGAATGGATTCAACCCCTGGATATTAACACTGAATATAAAACAACAGCCTTTCTGAAAGATCCCCATAAGCTGACAACGCATGGTGCAAGACCGAATCCGAAATTTCCTTAGCTTTTGCGGATGAACTCGAGAAACGCTCTCAGCCATTTGGCCTGGCGAGACCCGAAGTACAGACCGCAGTGGTCAAAAGCATGAACCCAACTCCAGCGAATGCAGCTGTCCTTGGTGAGGATAGAGATGATACCACTACGCCATTAGAGAAAGTCAGACGGAGGTCTAAAACTAAGCCAATGTCGGGTTACGATCGCCCAGATCGAAGTATTACTCCGGTGCTGGGAATACGTCCCGAGAAGATAGTGCACATGGTGGGAACATCAAATATTCAGGGTGTCAGGAGATGACTTCACCTACAGGGTTTACGCACTTACGCATCAAACTCTCGAAGGAAATTATGCGGTGCTGTGTCGCAACGTCAGCGTGTTGTTCGAGGGTAATGCCAACGAGTTTTACTGGCGCTATCACAAATCGGAAGTCGAAGTCCGATGGGACAATTTGTGTTCGTTATATACCTCTAAAAAAACACTCTTTACAAAGTTACAATGGTTTTTATATTATTTTTTTGATTATTCCTATGGGAGCCATAAGATATAGTGGTCCGATCCGGCTCGTTCCGACATATGTACTACCAGCAATTGAAAGAAGACTTTTGGGATAGTTTCATCGAGATAGCTTTAAAACTGAAAGACTAGTTCGCATAGAAACGGACAGACGGACATGGCTAGATGGACTCGGCTATTGATGCTGATCAAGAATATATATACTTTATGTGGTCGGAAACGTCTCCCTCACTGCGTTGCAAACATCTGACTGAAATTATAATACCCTCTGCAAGGGTATAAAAAATGGTTTCAATTGTTTTAATACATTTAATGGTGACAATTTAGTGCTGATATCTATCCGACAACTGTTAAACCATTTCTTAAAAGCTGACACAGTCGCGGCGGGATAGCTAGTATTCATATATTTTTAGTACTTACCCATCAAACTCTTCGGTGTTGCTCTTCATCCTTAAATTTTTAAGTAAAGTACTTTCACTAGGAGGAAGGTCTCGGATAATGCGAGCTGTTGGTATTTTTTTTACTGCATTTAAGAAAGGATATTTTTCTTTAAGTTCTTTTGGTACTTTGCATGCTGATCTGGTCGGTTCTGCTAACAACTTTGTGCATTTAGTCCATTCAGAAAGATTTCCGTTACATATATAACCAGATTTATTGAAAATAAACTGAGAGTTCCCGCAGTCAGAGCATGATTCAATAGCACCAAAAGTCAATAAATCAGCTGCTTGATCTAATAACCGTTCAGAGTCACCGGTTAAAGGATGTTGACTATTCGACTTCAAAAGTTTTTCAAGGTCTGTCTTTTTCATTACACCTTTAAGTTCATCGCGAAACTTAAAAAAGGTATCGTTTTGATTTTTGAAGTAATTTATTTTATCATTTTCTTCCGTTTTATCTGCTAGTTCCATCTTAGTTTTTTTGGCTTCTGGTAAATCTTCAGATTTAATTGATCTGTAAAAAAAAAAGAAAATCGGATTATTTCAATTAGGTTTAAAAATGTACCTTGCAGGAAACTGGACTTTAAAAAGACTAGTTGGGTGTCGGGAGCAGAGAAATCTTTACAACCAAAGTCCAATATTATTTTGTGCAATTTTCCAATTTTTTTTTTTAAATCCGTTAAAAAAGTGTTTTAAAATATTTTTTTGACAATCCCTGGCTCTTTGGCAACCCTCCAAACTCAGCTGTTCGAACTAATTGGGTGTGCCTAAATTTCTCTGCGAAGCGGGTCAAAAGTATAATAAATTCTTCTTTACCAAATATCGCGCATTTCTTTCGGTTGAATTATGAAAAATATTTTTCAAGGTATGTAGACTTAGAGGACTTAAATTGGATATGCTCTTGTTTCGAGGTGTATTTAATTGTTTTATTGAACCATGTTTTATGTAGAAGTTAACGTATAAATACACTGTGCAACATTTTAAGGGTTATAAAATGTAACGGCAATTCTGATTTCATCGGCGGAAAGTACTCATGCACCTAGTGCATACTAAATTCAATGCTTAGGCAGCGTAAGTTGCTTTGAGCTGGCAAAAGTGGCTATTTTCGTTTCTAAATAACTTTTAAACCTGATTTTTTACAGTAACACGATATATACCAAAATTTAAGGAATCTCAAGGGCTATACAGTTTAAAAATTTAAAGGAGTCAAAATCTCCCAAGTGGGCCACCCCCGATTCAAAGGTCCTATTTTCGTCAAACTTTTTATACCCTTGTAGAGGGTATTATAATTTCACTCAGATGTTTGCAACGCAGTGAAGGAGACGTTTCCGACCACATAAAGTATATATATTCTTGATCAGCACCAATAGCCGAGTCTATCTAGCCATGTCCGTCTGTCCGTCTGTCTGTCTGTCCGTCTGCCGGTCTGTCCGTCTGTCCGTTTCTATGCGAACTAGTCTCTCAGTTTTAAAGCTATCGCGATGAAACTTTCCCGAAAGTCTTATTTCTATTGCAGGTAGTACATATGTCGGAGAGAGCCGAATCGGACCACTATATCTTAAGGCTCCCATAGGAATATTCAAACAACTATAAGAAAATTAATTGTAACTTTGTAGGAAGTAGGCGTTTTGATTCTTGACTACTTAAAAACAAAATTTAAATAAATAGAAACGCTGAATCTGGAATCCCTGGAACTGCACCGAGTGAGCATTCTTTTATCTACAAGGGTATATAAGCTTCGGCTGGCCGAAGGAAGCTTCCTTTATTGTTTATTTTTCCGGTTCACAACGACAAAAAAAACTTTACCTGAACGGTTTTGAGAAATTTTGAGTTTCAACGGAGTTATAGGGGTCAGAAAATAGCATTTTTGGCTCTTTTTCAAAAAAGGTGCTATCACTATTTTCGTAAGGGAAAAATATATCTTTATGATGTTTTTGGTAAAGGAGTGCGAGGGAGATGGATATATAAAATTTTTTTGATTGCGCATAACTTTTTATTGAATGGTCCGATTTAAAAAAATGTCTTCTACATTTCGATAGCTATAGATATAAACACCACAAAATTTCAGTTATACTTGTCGGAAATCATTAAAGGTGTGGGCGCCAGACACATTTTAAAATCGTTAGTTGGCGATGGTGGGCGTTAGAGGGGGCGTGGCGCCCGGCTGAAATAAACTTGCGCTGCGTAGGAAGCCCAAGAATATGTGTGGGTAATCCCAACTTTCTACCTTTTGTAGTTTCCAAGATCTCAGCGTTCATCCAGAGGAACAGACAGACCGACATACAGACAGACGGACATGGCTAGATCGACTCGGCTAGTGACCCTGATCAAGAATGTACCCTAGTCAAAATTATTTTCACAACACACAATTATTTGCACATCCCAACTTCTTTTAGTTGTTATTCTTGTTGTTGTTGAACAATATCCCTGAAATAAATGTTACGCGTTGCTCGATCTATGCTGAAGCGACACAAAAAGAAATGCGAGAGATAGCGGTTCATAGGACAAAGCTAAAAGCAGAAGAAAAAAAGCTTATCAGTTGTCAGAAGTATTTGCACACGTTTTCGGTATTAGGTCTTAATACTAGAGAACCTTGTGAATCTTGAAAGTCTAAAATACAATTAAATTCTTTAATGAAATCTATTTCTAGAATACCATCGCATGGAATCGGAAAATCAGGTGGAACTATTTGAAAGTCATGTGGTATAATGAAATTTTTTGTTTTAAGTTCCACGAGCGCTAAGCCCAAGGATTTTATAGAACCTTGTCCTATTCCTGTTATATTTTAAATTTTAGAACTGTCTAATTCGGGGTACTCTTGATTACATTTTTTAAGTAATGAAATCTCGGCTCCCGTATCTACTAACAATGTTAAGTTTTTGTTGGTTTTTTTCGTTTTTAACCTTTATAAAAAAACTGAGGCTAATATTGATTTTATATATGCTTACTGTTCTTTCTCTTCTTCTACCGTCAAGGGGTCCTCTTCGTTTTCCTGAGTGACCCTAACGCTTCTGTTGGAATTTCTTCTAGTAGAAGTACTCTGTGCATTAGAGTTTGTATTATTTTGGTTTTTATTATTGCGGTTATTATACTACTATAATACCCGCGACCCCCTCTATTTCCTCTATCTCTGTAGGTGGTAGAGCGTTTGACTGTCCTGTTGTAATGGCTGCCCTTTAACAAAAATACAATCAGTTAGCATTCAAAAATCAAATAATTAGGCGCCCTATAGCAATAGCGATAGTTGATATATATTACTGGTCTGGCAACTCTTTCAAGTGACAAGTATCACTCACCAGATGGTGAATACCGAACGCGAATTCAGAGAAGGGTTCGACGGGCCCATCGCATCGAGCCTCGATCTCTTTTCTGAAAAACCATCACGCTGATCAGACGAAAAGCTCCCCCAAGAATAAAGTACGGAAAAAAAAACAGATTAAAGCCACATGTGCTTTAAACCTTAATCTAAAATTTAGTATTGCATCTTAAGTAATAGATGCAATAAAGTTATCAATAACACCCCACTATAGGATTTGCATGCCAGCAAGGTAAATATTTTGGGCTAGAAAGCTCTTTAAACTTGCAATAACATTTTGCACATTTTTAGCTCAGCTTGTTCTATCCCTTATCGGCGTCTACACGGCCAGAAAAAGGCCTGTAGTTCGCATAAATAAAGAACAGTCACAAACGCAAACAGAACCACGAGGAAAATTGGTAATTATGACTAGCTAAAGGCAGACAAGAAGTTTTCCTAACCAGAGTTCCTTTTAGTTAGCCCGATACATTGCGTTCCAATTTTCGTGCTGGAAAAGCCGTCTTCAATTTTCACGCCGCAAAAGCCGTACTAAATTTTCCCGACAGAAAGGCGCAACGAAAGCCGTGGGCAGCGAGAAAAATTGCCGCAGATCACAGGCGAAAGTTGCAGAAAATTCGTGTGAAAAATTACTGAACAAATTCTAAAAATCACCCAGTTAAAACCCTAATCCTAGTTTAAAAAAATAAACAAAAACGAAAGTGTTATTTTCTATATTTTTTTTAAGTGCACCCTTAACAAAGTAAAATCAATTAAATTAAAACAATAGAAAAAAAAGCTACAGCTAGTTAAAATTAAAAAAAACAAGAAAGGAAGCTACCTTCGGCCAGCCGAAGCTTATATACCCTTGCAGATAAAGTAATGCTCACTCGGTGCAGTTCCAGAGAATCCAGATTCAGCGTTTCTATTTACTTAAATTTTGTTTTTAAGTAGTCAAGAATCAAAACGCCTACTTCCTACAAAGTTACAATGAATTTTCTTATATTTGTTTGAATATTCCTATGGGAGCCTTAAGATATAGTGGTCCGATCCGGCTCGCTCCGACATATGTACTACCTGCAATAGAAAGAAGACTTTCGGGAAAGTTTCATCGCGATATATACTTTATGTGGTCGGAAACGTCTCCTTCACTGCGTTGCAAACATCTGACTGAAATTATAATACCCTCTACAAGGGTATTAAAATAATACTGGCAAAAACAGAACCCAGATAAAAACATAATATCAATAAGTAAAAAAAGCTTAATTATAAATCGCATTGGCAAAGTGGTGGTGTGTAGGTACGAGCAGGTGAAAAATAGAATCTGAAACCAAATCAAACCCGCGGCCAGAAATGGCACACTGAAAAAAATTGAATTGCTTCATGGAGAGAGATAACTCCCTAAATGGAGTACTATCAATAAAATTAATAACACAAAACAAACTAAAAACCCAACATCGATTAATTGCAACTACCGAAAAACAAAACAAGAATAAATGTTAAAAAAGTTAAATAATAGTTAAATAATTTAAAACATGTAAATTAAATTTGCGAATTATTTTTTTCTCTCTAAATCCCTAATCAACAAAATCCAGCATCATCAAGAAGGCCTTCTTCGAGGAGCAATGGGTGAGTCGTAAACAAACAACAACCAAACAAAAATAACAACAAAAGTCGTCGAGTGCGAATCCCATTTTAACTTTGTTTTGAGCAGTGTAAAAAAATTATGTACACGTTCATGTAAGCTTTTCAGGCGTTCGCACCGATATTTTGGTTTTTTTTTTCCAAGTTTCTTTTACATGTTTTTCTTATCGGAGTGCAAATATCGCACTAGTGAAATTTATGCGGTAAATAAAAGCTTTACCATGTCTAAACCAAACTAAATAAAATACAAAATAGAGATCTTTCCTAAGCTGCAATTAAACTACGTTGATTTTTTTTAAGACAGGCAATTACATTAACTTAGAGGAAAAACCCGGTATTGAAAGGAATTATAAGAAACCAAATTATAAACCGAATTAAAAGAGAACAATTAGTAAAGCAACTCCCCAATAAAATTGTTACTACTATTACTATGTAATTTCAAAAAAATGAAAAGAAACTAAAAGAAATCCGAAAAGAAATTGAAATAAAGACACTTAAAGAAATAATTTCCGAAATATTTTTCTAAAATTTATATTAGGAATTAAATTAATGTAATTTTTTTTTAATAAAAATGTAAA